AGAGACATGACGAACAGACACTGCCAAGAGCTCCGGAGCGAACCGGGCAGGCTCAGACGGGCCCCTCGCAGGTGGGGATGCTCCAGGGAAGGGCTGGGCATGGCCTGAGGAGTGGAAACTGCTGCTCACAGCTGGACAGGCAGCAAAGGGCAATGAGAGCGTGCGGCAAGCAGGTGGCAGGGCCCCTGGACACGCTGGCTGAAGGTCTGCTTCTGTGCCTCTGTGATGTTTCCATGGTGCTGGGCATCTGCTGGTCCCTCCAGCACGGCTCTGAGCTGCTACCTCTGCCTTGTGCGTGGAGCCCACTGGGTCTCAGACTGCAGGGGATGGGTGGTGTTCCTCAGGGACACAAGCAGCAGGGCCACAAGGCACTCGGGTTGCGTATCATGGCTGTGGAGCGATGCGCAGGAGCCTTACCTGGCTGAATTTCCCATAGCCAGCCCATGCCAGGCATTGGCAGGGAAGCACTTGCCAGCAGAGACAATGCCTGTTGATCCTCCTGAGCCAGTCCTGCTGCGGAGACTGCTGTGAGTGGAAGCTGCTCTTACAGCACTCTCCTACACAAGTGGCTCACACCACCATTAAGCAGCATAGGGTTACAGACAGCGTGACCACAGCTGCTTCACATTTCCTTCAGCAGTGAGGAAGCAAAGATCATGGCTCCAGCCCAAGAAGCCATGGGAGATGCTCACACTGTCTCCAGTGGCTCTGCATGATAGCCTGAGAGACCTAGAAGACACAGTGGAAACCATCTCAGCATCAGGACCATTCTGATTTCTCTGGCACTTGGGGAAATCAGCTGCATCCAGGCAAATGTCAGCATGGCTACTGGGGAAACAGAGCTGGAAAAGAGCAAGGTAAGATGAACTGAGACGTATTCCCAGGGAGCAGCAAGAGCAGAGCTGCTCCGCAAGGGGAGACGAGCCATAAGCTGAGGGTGACCACCACACAGGCTGAGGGAGAGACCTCATCAGCAGGGCAGGGACAAGTCAGTCACAGGTCCCATCAACAGTGATCGTCAGGCCAAGGCAAGGTGGCAAGTCAGGTCCAAGGTCAACAAGGGAAGTCCAATGAACGAGTCTGGTCTGACAGGGGTGGATGGAGCCTCAGGCACCTTCATAGCTCAAACCAGGACTGGGGGTCTGGGCCAGCATTTAGATAAAGTCCCCAGCCCAGGGGCAGAGGGAGGGTGGGTGGGGGTCTCACGTGAGGCTGGTCAGGGCAATTAAGGACAATTGGTGCACTCAGGGCTCTGGCAGCCAAGTCCCCTGGCATGTCTAGAAGAGAGGAAGGCCAGAGGCTCTATGGCCGATAGAGAAAATAGTACATCCTAAAGATGAGATTATTGAGAGGGGGCAATGCCAAAAGTAAATGCATGGTACGGCTGTGAGAAGGCAGGACTGAGGCATCTCCCAGCTGGCAAAGATCAGCTCTTTCTCCCCAGGAGACCCCCGAGGAGAGCAAGCCTTTCTTCCCACTGCCGCTCACCTGTCTTGCACCCCGGGCACCCCCATGGTCAGCAGGAGACCCTGTGTGCAGGGGGCTGTGGTGCTGCACACGGGCAGGGGGCGTAGCTCTGGGGGGCTCCTAGTGCCACAGGGTGGGGTGGATGTGATCAGAGAGGCAGGGGGATGCGGAGCAGTGCCAAGAGCGTGACACCCCCAGGAAGGCGGGGCAGAGGTGAGAGCCAGGGCTGAGGAGCAAGCCTCACCTCTCCTTCTCCTTTCCTTCCACAGCTGCCGGCCAACGCTGTCTTTGCCCACCAGTAAGCAGCAGCTGGTGCCATGGATGAGGTGACGGAGCTGGAGATGGGGGGGAACTCCCTCCTGAAGGCAGTGTGGCTCGGCCGGCTCCGGCTGACCCGACTGCTGCTGGAAGGGGGGGCTTACATCAACGAGAGCAACGAGAAAGGGGAGACCGCCCTGATGGTGGCCTGCATCACCAAGCACGTCGACCAGCAGAGCATTAACAAGGCCAAGATGGTGAAGTACCTGCTGGACAACAGAGCCGACCCCAACATCCAGGACAAGTCCGGGAAAACAGCCCTCATGCACGCCTGCATCTGCGGCGCTGGGGGGGACGTTGTGTCCCTGCTGCTGGAGAACGGGGCAGACCCCAGCCTGGAGGACCACTCGGGAGCATCAGCTCTGGTCCACGCCATCAACGCCGACGACAAGGACGTGCTGCAGCACCTCCTGGATGCCTGCAAGGCCAAAGGGAAGGAGGTGATCATTATCACCATGGACAAATCGGCCTCTGGCACCAAGACCACCAAGCAGTACCTGAACGTTCCCCCCTCGCTGGAGTTCAAGGAGAGGGCCCCCCCTGAGGCGTGCACAGCACCCTCCAGCGCCCACCTGAAAACTCCCGTCTCAGCACCTTCCCCCGCTGAGAAGGAGAACGGCATCTTCGGCCCACACCCATCACACCCCGGGGACACCCCCTCTGCCAGGGCTGCCGACGAGCCCCCCTCCCCGGGACGGAGAGCTGGCATGGCCAGGAGAGCCCGCCTGCCCCAGCTGAAACGGCTGCGGTCAGAGCCGTGGGGTCTGGTCGCACCCTCGGTCCTGGCAGCCTCCGTGCACCACGACGACACGCGGGTCTGTGTGGACGATGAGGTGATCATGGGCATCGGCGACCTCTCACTCTCCAAAAAGTCTCCACTCACCTGGAGCGGCAGCAGCAAGAGCAAGGACCCCTCTCTCTTCCCCCCGGTAGACAAGCAGGCTCTGAGGACGCTGCCAGCCCCCGGGCCACTGGCGAGGAAAGCAGCCTACGAGAAGAGCCAGACTGCCCACCAGCGCCTGCCCCGAAGGAGCACGGTCCCCGAAGAGCCAGAGAGCGTCTGCTCCGGTGCTGCTGGCTCGGCCATGGTGATGGATGCGCTGCACTGGCGGAGGCTGGGCACCGAACACTACGACTGTGACCCCCAGCTTTCCGGCGTCCCCAGCCCAGCCGAGGTGGGGAAGGTGCCGTCGGAGAGGAGGAAGCTCAGTGGCTCCCACCTGGCCTTGCTGGGCGGCTCGCGGGAGTCCCTGGACAGCATTGCCAGCACATCACCCGGGACTGTCCGGCGCCGACCCCCTGGTTTGCTGGAGAGGCGAGGGTCCGGGACCCTGCTTCTGGACCACATCTCCCACACAAGGCCGGGATATCTGCCCCCCCTGAATGTGAACCCCAACCCCCTGATCCCCGACATCGGCTCCAACAGCAAAACCTCCTCCCTGCTTGCTGCTGGCTTGAAGTCCCTGGTACCCATTGCTCCCAGCTCGCCCAGACGGGGCGACTTGAGAGCCAAAAGGAAGCTTCTCCGGAGACACTCCATGCAAGTGGAGCAGATGCGGCAGCTCTCTGATTTCGAGGAAATAGTGGCCCAGTAGCTGTGTCACCGTTTCTTTCCCAGGAAGGTTATAAAATCAGTGCTCTCCCTGCAGAAACATGACAGTTCCCACACCGAGTGGTCACCCAGCTCTGGGGAAGCGCTGGGGAAGCGCTGGCAGCCGCGGGGGCCAGACCTGGGCCCCGGGGGTGAATCAGGAGGTTGCTGCTCCCACTTGCCAGAGCTGTAAGGAGAGCCTGGGCATCCAGCCCAAACAGCTGAAGTGTCTCTCTTGTACTCTTCATTCACTTCTGGACTTTTCCCCAGGAGCGAATACCTGAGGGATCTGATCCCAGACCATTTGAGATCATCAGGCTTCGCACGAAGGCTCCTGCCTGCGGTTCACTTATTCCTCATTATTTACAATCCATTTTTCTTCCATCCCGCTCGTTCTGACACAGAAACCCCTCCGGAGCCCCACGCCAGGGAGCCATGGGGCTGATGTGTTTGTGAAGTGCCTACCAGGAAGGAAAGGAGCTTAATGCTGCACGAGGTTGGAAGAGCAGAAATGCCCCTCCCTAACAACTGAATGTATTGGTACCCTCACTGTGCTGGAGGGGGAGACAATTCTCTGCCTCAGAGATTGCCAAGCACTTTGAAACTCCAGAGGCTGAGCTAACCCTGTTACTGCTGCAACCCGGTGCCTTCAGTGGGCCTGGACTGGGAACAGATTTGTCTCTGAAGTGACCAAGGTTCAGGGGCATTTCCCACCACACTGAGCAACTCCAAGCACTGAATTCCTGGGCAGGGAGCGCTTGCAGCTTGTCTGCGTGGGAAGTTTCTGCCAACGATGCGGGAGCAAGGACGCCAAGTTGCCAAGGATGGCACACAGTGAGCATCAGGGGTTCATCCCAGCAGGGGAAAGCTGAAGGCACAGCACTGCACCCAGGATCCTCTCTCCTGCTGACCCCGCTGCAACAACAGTCCTTTGGGGCCGAAGCAGAGCTGAACGAGGGTGGGTGGCTGCATGCAGGCAGGAGGACGGGGCAGCCACGGGATGGGTCTGCATGGCATTGGTGTCTGCGGCAGCTCTCTGCACAGCACCGTCCCGAAGCAGCGTGAGTCCGAGCCAGAAAATGCATCTGCACGGCTGGAGGTGGGGGTGCGACTGTGATTCCTTCCTGGTGCACAGGGACCCGGGTGCCCAGCCCTGCAGACAGGGCCGTGCGGCACCCCGCCGCGGGACTGGGCCTGCACCAGCAGCA